TTTATATGATTTCATAATTTCATTCTGTATTTGCTTCCCAGTCTGCAATTTAACTTCTTGCTCTTTCATTGTTATGCTGTATGGATCAGACTGCTGCTCTAATTGCTTGCTAAGTCATTTCCCTTCTATATATTTGACTGTTGGTTTCTCCTCTATTTCTCATATTTAAGTAATGTCTTTCAAACTGCCAGGACTGAAGTTTGACAGTATAAATTAGTTCAAAAATGATTTGACAAGATTGATGATCAAATTATTAAATGTGTTGTCCTCAAAAACCTCTAAAATGCTGATTTCTGTGAGCTGGGAGGATATCCCAGGGAAAGATCACTCTGTTCATATTTTCTTCCCTATTCACACTTTCTTATATTCTTTCACTGACAAAGACAGCAGTCTGACTCAGTACGGTGATTCTGTGTCCTTGCAGCTTAGTCCTGCTCACCCGAAGTCTCTAATCCCAGGGCAGCTGATACCCCTCAGCTGGCACGTAGAACATGGATGACCACCTCCTGCAGTAGGTTGAAAGCAAAAATGCAGCAATTGCTTCTAAACCCGTCATTTTTTGCTGTAAGAAAAGCCAAGCAACTAGGGAGGCTTAGTTACACAATTGTAGTATGTATTTAGATGGTTACTTTGACAATGACAATACCAAGAGCTACATTTTCTGATAAACATGACTTGCAGCTATGAAAGATATGTAGGTCCAGTTTGTGAATAAACCTGATCTTATAATTACAGTGGAGAAATACTTGCATGTAACACTCTTAACTATCTCAAGGAGACAAAATGAACTGGCAAGTCTATATGCACAGTCTTTTCTCTAGCGTCTGCAGGAATCATTGAAGTTATAAGGACTTTCGTTAACATTTTAAGGGACTGGAAATGAAAGGTCTGCTCTTTGTAAGGGTACTCTCTGTTATGAAGAGAGGACAGTTCTGGGGCAGTTCTGCCGGTACAGGTCAGAGGCATGGAAAAGGGGGCTGCTGGTCCAGTTCTGGGGTACCCCAACAGGAAACAGGGGAAGCACAATTCTCCTGGGATGGTACAGAGACTGGAGAAAGACAGCAGGCAGAGCAATAGGTGTCCTACCATTCTGCCAAGACTTCAAACTGACAAATTTCAGCTGCAAAATTAAATCTTTTGGATTAAAAATGCTATACCCTGTGGCCTGTTCATCTCTGGTTCAGTTTGTCAGGTAGGCAGCATCTCATGTGGCATGTCAGAGAAAGCCTCAGCTGCTATGCAGAGACCTGCCAGGTATTTATTCACATTACATGTTTGCAAAAAAAAATAAATTAATTATGCAATAGTTCAGTTTTTAAATGCTGTAGTGGCACCCCTGACTCCATTCTCCTTTTCTATAACGGAAGGAAAAAAAGGTATTTTACAAGGAAAGTAGGTAATCCTTGGTTTTTAGTCCCTTGCCCTGTAGAGTATCTGAAACAGAAGAGAGGAGCTAAATACTGCTTTTGCTAGTATCTTATCAATCTTCTGGAAAATACATGGTGAGGCACTAATACTGTCTCTGGGTGGTAAAGCATAGGTGCACTTTGCAGCTACCAGGTGTGGTTGCGTGTCCCACGTCCACGTGGAGAGGTCACCTGGCTCTTCACCAGCCTTCGCTCATGTCCCTCCCTGCAAAAGAGCCACCTGCAAGCCCTGACGAGGTCCAGGATGCAGAGGGGATGTATAGAGATACCTGTCCCCAGGACAGACATTGTTGTGCTAAGTGTTGCCTTTGCCTTCAGAAAGAACAGCTCATGGCTCCTCTGATGCCCAAGTGCTGTGTATGAACCCAGCACGCAAACAACAGGCTTATTTTGGTGTTCTTAGGTTAGAGGACAGGGTTTTAGTGTATGAGCTTTCACTGACCTCATTAAGGAATTGATTTATCCATAGATCCTCTGTGTTTGCACAAGGTCATCAGTAACATTACTACAACAAGATCAAATCCTGTTGATGTGCCTTTTTGTCCATGAATGAGCCACATTTTTCCTTACACAAATTTACGGAAAAGAAGAGGCAGATCCCACCAAGACAACCATTTACTTCCAGCTAGAGTTTGCAGGGCTGTTGTATGAAAAGGGGTTTTGAAAGAATTCGTGTTTTAGTAGAGATAAATGAGCAGTGCCTTTCTTATTTGATGGCCAGCAGGAAAAATTAAGACAAAAACTTAACCTGCAGTTGTTTTGGAACAGATTTTTTTAGGTCTTTCCTAAGGACAAAATCTAATGAATTTTTTGATAGGTTTGATTTGACCATTGGTGAAATATTGCATTCCATTTTAAGATGATGAAGCCTTTAAAACTCTGAAAGATATTTCAAAGAATTCTTTTCCATTCTTTTTACTTCAAACTGATTTTTTTTTAACAAAAAGGTGATTGATATTTTGAAATGAAAGGTTTTATCATAAAAATGCCAAAAGAAAATACTTCATTTCATTTCAGCCATTTCAGCCTTTTACAATTTTGCCCTCCTGCATTTCTTGGCTGAAACAATTCACCAAATTTACTTGGATTTATGAATATTTCAAACAATCTAGGATTCCATTTGGAGAAAAATGTACTTACTGTCAAACAAGTCCTGGTCTATAATACAGCATCCCAAATTAATCCTACGTGTAATACAGTGATGGTCAAAGTTAACCAGGCATAGTGTGGTCCAATACATGGAAGTACAAGGCATTTCAAGAACTGAAATTATTTCTGGGACTGAAAGCTTATAGCTCCTTTTTGACAAATGACCTTTAAAGGAAAGTACTTGTTAAATTAATATTTAATGAGGTTTTCAGGTTTTCCATTTTAATGCTTCTTTGGAAATGTTAGTATTGATTGCTACATATTGAGATTTGTAAATATAAAAAAGAACAAAAAATTAAATGTATTCCAGGAGGTAAAAAGAATGCCCCTGCTGAAGAGGAGGAGCTGACAAGGGACAGTCACACTCAGAGGCTCACTGCCTCTCTGGATCAATGTTCTGCATCTTTTGGTATTTATAGTTTACCGTGCATTTCCCATCATGCCTGTTTGGGTGCCTTTGTAAAGCCTTTGTTAGTGGGTTTTTACCTACACAGAACTGAGCTCAGAGACAAAATCCAGTCGACTAAACAAACAACCCTGAGGAGCTCAGGCTCTGGCCATGATGCCAGAGCAGGATCCCGAGAGGGGCCTGTGGGAAGCAGCCCAAAGGCGTAATGCTGTGCTGGAGGTGTGAACCTTAACTGTGTTTCTCTTGCCAGGGCATTTGCTTTGTGCTGTGAGAGATGCATGCCAGTCCCTGATGCTGTTCACCCTGTCCCAGAGGCTCCCCATCTTTCTGTCTCTGCCCAGCCTGCAGCCGCTTCTCTTCTTCAACAAACAAGGTGGGCCAGGGACGCGGCAGCCCCCCACCTCTCTCCCCACGGCTGCTTTGGGCAGATCCCACCAGCTGCAGAAAGGTTCCTCTTGTCTATCGGTCTTTATGTGTCTGTCCACAGGGTGGAGGTCATGACTTGCATATTAAGCAAGCCTGCACAGAAAGTAAGCACCAAAACTAGGATTATCAGGAGTTCAGGTCATGGAGCAGAAGGGGAAGGTAGAAAGTGAGTGGAAGTATTTGTGTGCCAAGGGGAACAACAGCAAAAAATTCTTGTCACGAAGAGCGTGTTCTCTATGCGGGTTGTCTCTTGTCGTGCTGTTGCCCACGCCACAGAGCTGCAGTCCAGCTCTCTCTAGCACAGAAATTTGATGAGAAGGCTTGAGCAGGTCCTCTGGACACTGCAGTTTGGCTGTGGATGCAGGCGAAGATGCAGCGACCCTTGAGAGCCCATGCTTGGGGCTGTTGTTCAAACGGGGTCATGCCGGAGGGGTGAAGGCGAGGACTGTGGCTTAACCGCGTGAGGCAGGACCACTGTTAGAGAGGGATCTGTGCTGGTAGCAGGTTGCCGGTGAAGGGAAGATGAGTGCAGTCCAGCACTGTTGGAAACACGGTCTCTTCGCACTGCAGTTGTCTGTCTTCCAAGCACAAGTGTATCACACTGAATATGATTTCCTTTATTTCCCAGAGCCTGATGTCTTTATTTCATAATTAGCTTCTCACAATCACGAAGAACTGCTTTTTATTCTTCAGTAATATCTTATTAAAGTAAGATTGTCTTATCAATAGTTTTAATCAAAACAAAATTATCATTTGCAGGCTTTAGGAAGGGAGGGATTTGAGAGAAGACCGAAGCATCTCTGGCCTGAGAAATCTGGAATGAGACCAGAGTAGACTTTCGTTAAGACTCACATACAAACTTGAGCTGTGGAGTGGGACACACAGAAATAGGAAAACTTCAGCAATGCTGATTTTAAAAAGGGCTCATAATGGGTGACAGACACCAGGGTCAGACACAGGGCAGCAATTACGCCTGCTGGGGACCCCCATGAGGGGCTACTGACGCTGTCAGGGGCTGCGTCCTCTGGTGCACGCTCCCAGCCTGGGCTTCCCCATCCGGGCTGCAGTGGGTGTTGGGTGCTGGCTGATGTGCCACCCACACTTATAGCAGGAGCTAAGTGAAGCTCAGAAAAATTTCACCTTGCATTACAAAGATCTGGTAGGGATGGACCCCTGCAAGGCAAGAGTCACCCCTGGGTCAGACCCATGGTGCAGAACATCATTAGAGAGAAGGAAGCGGGTGCAATAACCCCGAAGCCTGGAAGTGATCCAAGGCACAAAGAGGGATGGAGCGAGCCAGACCAAAATTCAGACCTCCGCTAAACTCTCTTTTCTTTCCAGTCTGTTTTATTCTGCTGTATGTTGCATTCTGATTCTGGAGGAAATGCTGACATGAGTTTCCTTCTCGTTACTTCTGGGACATGGTCAAGCACAAGTGGATGACAGCTGGGGAGACTGTCCTTGAATTTTCCAAGCGCTGACCTGTACCACAGGGATTTTCTGCCAGTTCGTCGGTCTTGCATGTGACAAAACTCCTGACACAATAACCACAGGTTAATTTTTTTCAATTGTTCTGTTTTGTCTTCCAGGGTTTGGCATGACCACCCCAGCCACCGTTGGAGGCAAAATTTTTCTGATATTTTACGGCCTTATAGGATGTGCAGGGACCATTTTGTTCTTTAACCTGTTCCTGGAGCGCTTGATCACTGTCATAGCCTATGTTATGAAGTCCTGCCACGAAAGACAGCTGAGGAGGAAAGGGGTTCTCCCTCACAACAGCCGGCGGGGCTCAGGCACCACCGAGGTGGACAGCCTGGCAGGCTGGAAGCCCTCCGTGTACTACGTCATGCTGATTTTATGTGTAGCATCACTCATCATTTCCTGCTGTGCCTCTGCAATGTACACACCGATTGAAGGGTGGAGTTACTTTGACTCACTTTACTTCTGCTTCGTGGCCTTCAGCACCATCGGTTTCGGTGATCTGGTCAGTAGCCAGAACATCAAGTATGAGACCCAAGGCCTTTACCGCTTTGGCAATTTTGTCTTCATACTCATGGGGGTGTGCTGCATCTATTCCTTATTTAATGTGATCTCTATTGTCATCAAACAATCCATAAACTGGATATTAAAGAAGCTGGACTGCAGGTGCTGCCACGGATGCCAAAGAAAATTATTTCGTTCACGGAGGAACGTGGTAATGCCAGGAAATGTGCGCAGCCGGAGAAACATCTCCATCGAGACCGATGTTGTCAATGAGAGTGACACAGACGGACGCCGGCTGTCAGGCGAGATGATCTCCATGAAAGACTTCCTGGCCTCCAATAAAGTCTCACTGGCCATCATGCAAAAACAGCTGTCAGAAACTGCTAATGGCTATCCGAGGCAAATGAGCTCTAATTCAAAGCAAAATGGTTTCTCTGCTGGGGTTGGAGCCCTAGCAATTATGAATAACAGACTGGCAGAGACAAGTGTGGATAGGTAAAATAAGAACAGTAATAACAGTGGAACAGTGTGAACCATTCCAACAAAGATAGAAACAACATGAATCAAGTGGAAATAGCTAGGGAAAGCATGTCATCAGAGGGTGGAATGGATGTGAATGGCATTACCTCCTGTTGGAAGACCTCTGACACTTTTTTGGGGCTGTGACTTTATGTCTTTGCTCTTTGAATTGCACCAGTCTCAGCCTTCCTTCTTCCCCTTCCTTCTGTTCCTCAAGCAGGTCACTGCAGGAGAAATTTAATTTAACCTTCAGATCAGTTTTCCATGTCCTGTTCTCCTCCATTTATGTGAAATATAGATTTCAGGATAAGAAATCTCTGGTATGGGAAGAAACCAAGTGTGTCTGCTCAACACATTCTTAATTCAAAGATTGTTCTGAGTTTTCTGTCTTACTCCTGTCATACCTGTTTTCTGAAAGTAGCTTATCTGAGACCAAAAGAGGAATCAGCCTTTCTCTGTGACACTGCAGATCTAATTTCATGGAATAAAACCCCCAAACTATTTTCTTTTATATATCACTCCTTAAAATGTATTCCTATTGTGAAACAGCTAGGCTTGAAAAGCCAACTTCTGCTGCCATTAATATTTGTGTAAATCTGGAGTAATTCTATGAAAGTTGGTAGGACTATTTTGAAGCTGTTGTGATGTGAATGAGAAGAGAATTTGGCCTTTAGAATTTAATTTAGTCTTCCCTTTAAAAGGATACTGTCAAAAGTGATAGAATAAAAATTTTCTTCTCTCCATTTGTAAAATGTGATTTTTTTCTAGGCTACTTTTTCTTCTAGAATGGAATCAGTGTGGCTTTTTGTTTCAAAAATATCAAATTAAATTGAAAACTGCCATACTGATGAGTTGTATGAATTATTCCACAATAACAGTCACAGACTTTTCCAAATTTCTGTTCATATTTTGCTCAATTGTGACTGAAGAAATTGAGCATCAGCATTATGTAATGGAACTAGTAACTGAGTTTACACAACAGGCTTTAGTAAGCAATTAGATTGCCCTGCCAACTTTCGATGTATTATTATAAGTGACTGTGATCACAAAATCACTTTGGCAGTGTCCTTTTTACCTTTCATGTAATGCTGTCATTCTTCACCTGTTTTTCTGGCTTTCGGTGATGATAATGACAGGGTCTTGATTAGGGAAATAGAAAGCATTTAACTCCTCATTTTTCTCAATGAAATGCTCCGAGTGTTCATTATGACTAGAAAGGAGACTTCAATGAGAAGAATAATAACAGTGAAAAGAATATGAAAACAGGAAAAGGGGTGATCTTTAATGACAGTGAAATTATTCTTTGTCTTAGGTAACTGGAGAAATAAGGGATTAAATTAACATGAAGCCTAGCAAGAATTTAAGGAAGACTGGGCTGAATTTCTGATTCTCTTTTAACCATGCAATGCCTTAAAGCTAAACAGTATATGAGAGTGTAAGTAAGCATAATTGGTCACAAGGGACCTGATCCAATTCCCCCCTGAAAAGAACAGTACATGCATCAGGGCTAAATGTTTTCTCACAGCTAGAAAACCTTGCAGAATACTACGGTTTTAGGGAATTTAAAACACCATTATTCAATTCTTAATTTCTCTCATATGGAACAATGCAGATAGCCTCTTCAGTTTAATTTCTATTAGGAATTAATCTCATATCCTTTTTATTCATTCTGGACAAAAGTTCTTTTATTTAGGTTCCTAATACTGTAGAATAACATTTTAATACTCATTTTAAGCAATATTTAAATTTGAAAACAGAAACATACCTCTTGGAATCCTTTCTTATAATAAAGTAAATCCAGGTATTAAACAAATGTACGTAACTAGTGAGAAGAATTGCAAGCTCTTTTGACATATTACAGCTAAAATGTCCTGACTAACAGTTAAATCCTGCTGTCCTTAGTCACAATGAGAGCTTCAAGCTGAAGCCATTAGTCCAAATTCTGATATCAACTTAGCTGTGCAGCAGTGGAATACCCCTTAAATCCCTTCATATTTGCATCCATGTAAAATCTGAATCAGCTTCCAAACCCTAACTTTGGTAAGAAAAGTAGTCTGACTTGGTTTTGGGGGGGGTTATGTATTAACAAAAATTGCCACTAAGCTATTTTAGATGATATTATAGTACTTAAGATCTGTTACCTTTTTTTTTTTTTTCTCCCAAGACCTTCTTTGTCTCAACCTCACTGAATAAAAATACTTGGATATAAAAAGAGAAAAGTACTGCTCTGAAGCCTTCTTTCCAAATTCATTCAGCAATGCCTCTGTTCACTGCCTGTAACCCTAAGACCTCATTGTTACAGAAGTATTCCTCATGCTGCCAACTAGCAGAAATAGTTTAGGACCTGGCCCATTGCTTAAGCAGAGCTCTCATCCTGGGCAGAACTGCTGCAATCTTGAAAAGTGCGGCTTACTTCTCCATTTATGTCTGTTATTAACTCTAAGTTACAAACATCAGATTTTGCTGAACTCTGAAGACAGGAGAAGTTACTCAACACTCCTCCCTTTTCCAGATGATTGAGGCAATCCACGTTATCTTAGACAAATAAACAAAACATGCAAGTTTCTTTAGTTCATTTATTATATAGTTCTGTGTCATTGTTAATGAAGGATCTGGCTTCCACGTAGGATTTTCACTCAAATCCTTCCATATCTAATTAGCTTTCAAAATTTGGTTCTGGAAATCTAAACACAGAGCAATACTCATAGCAGGTAGGTGAGAAAGCAAATCGAAGGAGAGAAAAACATATATGCACTGATGGAAATAGATAAAACATTACAATCCATATAGTCAATTCAACAGAGATTATTTAGCTTTTAGAGTATGACACATCCTAGTAGCAGATCATTAAGATGGTCTTCAGATAGTTTCAACTCCTTCCAAGACATGAGACAGTTCTGTAGCTCCTTTCCATTCTTTGTGATACGAAGTCTCAGTTACTCATCACCACAGAGGAATCTGTATCAGCTATTTTCAATAGATCTGAAAACATCTGTGGTTATGAAAACAAGGGACTAATATATAGTCTTGATCAAATAGATTAGGAGAGGCTGTATAAGATCTTTGGTGTACTCTAGCTCTGTCTTCATTGATCAGTCCTGACCTTCTGCTCTCTCAAGCACTGGCTTCCTCATGACTGGAGCCTGCCAGTTGCAAGGCTCTCTGCAGTGGTTTTGTGGTATGATTTCATGTCCACTGAAGATAAAGAAGGAATAAGTGCACTAATTTTGTCTAATCATCTCTATTCAGATGTGAATTGCTGTTCCGGAGATGAAGGACCAGTACATTCTGTGACTGTGCCATCTTGTATCGTGATGTCATCCTGTCCCCAAAAGATCTCTGACTTTGTCATTGAGTTCCCACCCCAGCAGCCACACCAAACATCGAATGAGGTAGCTTTACGTAGAAGACCAGTAGAATTCTCAGAGCATATTTGGAGATAAATAAGAAGACTTTTAAGATCAGAAAGGGAAATTTCTGACTCCAGTCCAATAGTACTACTACAGTTGTTTTTTCTAAAGGCATTGGACAGAGAAATCCTAAAAAGCTTAGTTCATAATGTAGCATCAGGTTATTAAAGTCATAAAACATGTGGAGATATAAACATACAAGTGCCAAGAAAAGTCGAATTTAGCATAGGAGTTGCAAATGTCCATCCTGTGTGAAAAATAAGTTACAATAAAAATACAGACAACATCGTCTTTCTTGCATTACTTTTTAAAGGAGTGATGAGGAATTAAGGGAAATAGTGTCAAATAGCCAGGGACATATTTTCAAAGCTGTGTAATCTAAATTTTAATGCCGTGTTGCTTAGCACTAAAATCTGAGTCAACAAGACAGAAACCTGCTTTTGAAAGTACTGAGTTTGCTGTTGCCTGCTATGAATTGCATGCTGGCTAATGAGATACGAGTGTGGTTTTTCTAATGCAAAAAGTTTTGGGGAAAATCTTGGATGTGCTGAATCTGCACTGAACAGGTCAGGAGCACCACTAAAATCAGTGGATTAAACTGCAAAGTGCAGCCTGGTCGGCTGAAACTGAAAGTCTTTAATGGAGTAATCTGGAAGCTGGGCTTATATTTATGCCATACTTTAATAATAGCATTCTTGTACAATATAATTATTGCACAATATAATTTTTGCACATTGAAAGGAAATATTTAGCGCTAACCAAAATACAATCAAATAAGTAAAGGTAGGTCTTAGGGTTTTCTGGCTAGTCTTAGGTTTTGTAAAATTTGTGTTATAAGATGCTTTGCTGGGTATGTAGGTGTCAAAGGAGTTACATTAATTTATCGCCATGAAGGACATGGTCTTCTGTTTACAAGGACATGAATAGGCTTTTCAAAGGCATCTAATTCATTAATTGACTTCCCACCACTCATTGACTCAGTAGAAGTCAGGTACCTAATTCCCTCAGGCAATTTCAGAATCCCAGCCATGTATTAGGTTTTGAATCTAAGCTGACCTGACGGTGTCCCTGAAAAGTTCAAACACTTGGAGCAAGGTTTCAGTGCTGCAGCACAGTAATAGCTGAATTCATTTATTTAAAAGCCTTTTATGGTGAAAGCTTTGCATCAACCAAACAGCACAAGCAGTGTTTGCAATTTGTTTGATTTAATCTTGGCCTCTGCCAGTTTTAATTATATTTGACACATTTATAAATTGAATAACAAAGAGAAGGTTGGGCTGGGCATGAAAAACAAACCAGCCCCATTTCTCAGACTGAATTAATCAAGAAAAAGAGGCCAGGTTGGGGAAAGAGCTTTCTCATTAACATTATAGTTGAATAAAGTTCCTCTGGATGTGGAGGGTATTAAGTTGTTTGGATGACTCCTCTCCAACGGCTGTGGAAGTGGGGCTGTTTGGTCCGCCCTGCCGATGTCCCCACTCTGGGAACAGCAGCTCAGTGAGCCTTAGCTGACAGAAGGGTCAGCATTTCAATCAATACGGTTTGCATCTTTTGTTGTTTTGATTTAGGT